GTTAAAACTGCTAATATTGTTTGGCAGCACTTCACAAGATGCAATCAGCACTTGGTTTTCCAGCAGGGCACTTCCAAGAAATCCCACTAGTGATGAAAGTTCCTAGGTAGACAAAAATATCTGAGGTCCTGGCTATAGAGCAGGCACAGCGGAATAGAGTCTTGAAAGAGAAGCAGATCTGGGAATACTGCTAGGGACTGTTCTGTACTGGCTGTCAGAAAGCAGCGAAATCAGGCAAGAAACAGGCACCCAGCTTAGCATCACCCTCAGTCATTTTTGTTGCCCGGAGCAAACAAAAGCCCCTTGAAGCCCAGCCCATCAGTGGCAGAGGCATGTCAAGAGCAAAGTCATGGGAACCTGGCAGATAATCACTAAGATACCATCGTACCCTGTGGCTGAGGCAGGAGGCCGCCTTGCAAATTGGTTCGATCAGGTAGAAAATGGAATTTCATGAGTGGATGATGCAATTTCCCTGAGCGCTGCTAGGTGTGAAAGCTGAAAGCTACTAACCAGGACTCCCTAGATGGGAAACTGCAAGGGCCAACATTTAAGTGGTATTTAATGCAGATAAGTCACTTTTATCTCCTGCAGGGGACCTATATTGCTAATTTAATGCCAAGTTCTTTTCACATTTCCTTTTATTTGGGGACCATATTTCTCAGAGTTGGATAGCAATAGCCACACTAATATACTATCTTTAGTCTTCTACGTCAGGATTGGTGACTGTAGGCACCTACCAGTGCTGGATGTAACCCAGAGAAAAGAAAAACAGAAAAGAAAGAGGGGTACCAGTGCTGGCTGCTGGTAACAGCCAGCCGTGAGTACTGCACTGCCGCAATTCAGTGGTGGGGCTTTCACGCACAATCCTAAGAGTTTCTACAGTCCTTGGATACTTTCTTCACCGCACGGGAAACATTGGCAAGTGCCTCAATGCTCTTGATTAAAGGTTAGACTTGCCCTCCTGGAACATGGTTCCGTTTCTTGCGCTCACTTCAAAGCAAGAGAGTTTAAAAGATCCAGGAGCAACTGTTCAAAGCAATGACTAAGGCTCTCTAAGCCTCATTTACTCACGCTTCTGAAAGAGAAATATGAGCATAGCAGTATCAGTAAAAGCCCAGGATATGGTTTCTTGTTGCACAGACTCTGCAGGGGACTTTCCACAGTACAAATGAAAAACACACGGGGAACTACCGTCCCAGAAATGCATCCTCCTTCTCCTCTGAGCCTGTCACCCAACGGTTTTGGCAGACCTGTCCATGACTGCAGCATTGCTTTAGTCTTCCACAGGATTTACTGCCTCTGAGCTTCTGCTGTGGAGATCACAGGGATCTCATCCTGTTTCCAGGGCTCCCAGAAGGTGACTTTCCTCCCTCCTGGACACTTGCCTGCAGGGCCACCAGCACCCGCGGGTGGCTATCCAGTAGATGGCATCCACGTCCAATGCTTGTGCTGGAGCTTCACCTTCCCGAGGGCTCCTCTTGTGCGTCACTTCTCAGGTCTGTTTCTTCACTAATGCCTACTTTTCATTTGACTCTTTAATGCCCGAAATTTATTTTAAAATTTGAAAATATTCACTGATTTAGTGCTCTTTTTGCTATTCTTATTCCTTCCCAAGAATAAAAATCCCTTATCATTCCTCTGTGTTCAATGGCATAGCGTGGAACCTTTTACAGAGGGACCATCAGAAAATAGAATCCTTAACAAAATTATGAAAAAAATACTTGAGATCTGTCCATCTCAACAGTGGAAAATACGTGGGCTAGGGGCTGGGAGTCTGAGAAACCAGGTCACATTGCATCTCCATGATCTTTACTTTGGGAAAAATAGGTTTTGTAGGAGGGAACAGGAGTGCTGAGTAAGTTCAAGCGGCATTCCCTGACAGCCTTGCTTTCCAACCCAGATATCTGGCAAGCGGAGGCAGTGGGTTTGGGTGTTACAGTCATTCTCCAACAATGGGAAGTATTGCAAAATACACAGCACCACATATTAAAAAGGGATTAGGAGTGGGGAACCACAATGAGTAGGAAGACAGGAGCAGCCTTTCAGCAGAGCCTCAGGCGCTCTTGCAGAAACGTGTTTTCTGGACCAGAATCACAGCCATGTACAGGCACTGTTTGCCTAACGAACCAACCCATGGATACCATCCCCAGCTTCCACACATCTGTGCAGATCCTGCTATGCCCCAGACTCCAAGAGCAACCTCCAGCCCTCGCAACGCTGCTGAATATAAATTGAGTTCTTGTCTGCCAGTGAAAATGCAGGGGATTACGAGTTGTGCCCCCTAACCCTGCAAGCGCTGCGGATAACCAAGCGGAACTCGAACTGCTACGAAGTTTGGAGTCGGAGCTTGAGAGACCCAGCAGAAGAGAAACTTCTGCCCAATCTCTATCATGTTCTAAATCTTCTCTTCTCGGGTTTCTAAGGCTTGGATTACACCCAGAAATAGACCGGTGTTTATTAATTAATTCCCTTTGGGGCTCTTCAGAGTCATATTTAACAGCAGTCTTATTCTGAGTTTGTTGGTCCACCGTTGCCATATGGATGACAAGCAGGAACCGGTGTGGTGGATTACTCTGGCTCTAGCCCATGGTCTGTCTCATCCAGCCTTGACAGTGCCCAATCCAAATAACTCAGACGAGTGGGCTGGATCCTTTGCTGTGGAGAGTTACAGAGCATCTGCCTCACTGAAGAAAGAGGTTCCTCCCAGTCTGAGTCACTAATGGCTGCTTTACATTCTGGAGCATGAGGTTTACATCCTTCCTAAACGTAATGGAAAGGTGGATAACGCAACCCACAAAACTCTAGACCTCAGTAATTAAGACACCCACAAGATAATTATGCCCTGTATAAAAAGAAAAGTGTAAAAAGTGATTGCGAAAGTAATTCTTATCAGTTTAAAAATGCTGCCTTTCAGTGCCTCTGGCCAAGTAACCCTTGCTTTTCTAGTCTCTCTTCCTTCAGCAGATCTCAAAGCCCATTGCAAGACAGGATGCTGCCATTGACTTCATTTAAAAAACATAAACCAGATGAACCTGGCCTCACCTTGCTGCCTGCCACAAACCTGGGACAGAATTTTTCCCAGGTCCCACTTGACGCTGTGCCTTGCATCATGACAAACCCACCGCAGACCAGCTGTGCCTGACAATCTTTTCCCTTACTCTAATTTCTAGACTGAAAAAATACCCCAAAACTCCATACTGTCATTCTTTACACCCTCACTTACTCCAAACACCTCCTTCTTCTCCTGGATTATCACTCCAATGCAGTGACCAGGGGGAGCACGGACGTCCCCACGCTCTCCTGCCTTTGGCTCACGTCTTGGCAGGAGCACACAAGCTGTTTCCCTGCCCGTTCCTTTGCCTCCCTCTCTATTTCAACTCAGCTTGATACCAAACCACAAAGATCACTTTACTCTAGGAAGAGCATTTTGATTGATGTTTGTACAGGACTGCAAGCCAACATTCAGTCGAATGCTACAAGGACAGGACACAGAACTTCCTAAAAAGGGTGGAAGAAGTTAAATTTATTTCTTAGAATTTCTTAAATGGAGTTTGAAGGTAAAAAGTGAGTTAAAGGCTGGACACTAATCTCTTAAACGAGCACTTTTCCACAAGGCAGAGTGAGTATTGTCCCTTTAAGGCACTTTTGTAGACATATTTTTTTTTAACTGAAAATGATTCCCTGTTAGTTTTAAGAGTAAACCAATGAACACAGAAAAAGTTATACTAAATGCTCAAAGGTGAACCATGTTTGCAACAGCCCCACAAATAAATAGTGCTGTATGCTCGTGTGCCCTCTGCATACAGCCAGCCCTCACTGCCCACCTCTGCGCCGCTGAGCTGGGCCACGGCGTCTACAGGCAAAGAAAATGCCGAGGACGTGTCCCAAGCTCCTCCTGCTCATTAAATGCTCTTTATGGCTCTGCTGAGCCAGTTCCTGACGAGTGACGTGCCCTGTGCCTGCGGGGACACCGGCAGTGTCGAGAACACATTCTGGACGCTGCCATGACCCCATCGCTTGCCACCACGCCACCATCATCCTCCTGAAGTATAAGCAGGCAATTCCAGATAGCGTTTTCCCCAAAGCCGAGTGCTTTGTTTGTGCAGCCCATGCACACAGCTGTCCCAGCAGCGGGGGGACCCTCGCTCTGTGCCGGGGGGTGCCCAGGGGCTGAGCTAACCGCAGGAGCACCCTGGGGGTACAGACCGGTGAGCAGGAAAGTGTCTCTGCTCTCTCCTCTGCCAACACGCAGATCAAAGTCTGAATCAGTCCATTTTCTCATTTTCCAGTCAAAGGAGGACACGGCAACAGAGCTTTGGGCAAGAAGGGGCAAATCGGAGTCTACTCCTGCTTTAGGATAATCTAGGATAAACTTCGGCTTGAAACAGTGTCGTGAGCACCCAGAAAGCTGAGAGGGAAAAGGTATTACTTTTGGCTTTGTCTTTATAGCTGATGCAGGAACTCACTCGTTAGTTACTCATTGCCTCGGCAAGTCTCATAAAACAGCCAGCAGAGCCCAGCAAATACTTTTCTTCAGTATTCCGGGAGCTCAGAAATCCAGGAATTGAACGAGGCCTTGAACTCATTTTATGGACCCACTTCTTACTGAGCTACCATAAAATATTAAAATTCAGACTTTATAAATAAGGAAGGAAAGAACTCTGCATTTCTTAGCAGAAGCAGCCTCACCAGAGACTCTTCCGAAGGTAAGTCCAGCACTACACGTCCCAGAAATGGGTTCCCCTGATAGACAGTTGATCGACGACATTGAACTCACACAACAGAGATCAGAGACGTAAAGCCTCCCTTGATTCTGCTCTGGACTGGAAAAGATCCTGCAAGGATTGACTGAGTTCATTCCCTGGTGAGCTGGCCCAGTCTTAGAGGGCTCTCCCCAGGGCGTCTGATGGCAGCAAGCAATTAACCCCCCGCGAGCCCCAAGCAGAGGCAGCAATGCTGTTGACCTTCTCTCCAACAGACGCCAGCTGGGCCCCTCTGAGATGGCACAGAGAAGCAGCCTCGCAGTCCCCTATGAAGTGCCCATCCTTGCTGTTTGCTTTTTGGCATGCGTAGCCACAGGTAAGCAATGGAAAAAAAATGCATCGTGGCTTTGTCCAAGTCCCATCGTGCCGACATATGAAACTATCTGGGGTTGGGCAGTGCCCAGGGTGCTGTGCCACACCAGCATCCCAGCTTTCAGATGTCCTGGAGGTCATCCCCAGAGGACTGGCTAAAATCTGGCCTCTGATTTTGAGAGTAGCAGAGAAGGGAATGCTTCAGCGTTTTCCAGCATTATTGCAGCAGCTGCACAGGAATGACAAGGCCACCGTTTTCAAACATGCTCCAAGAAGTGAAATGTGTGATAGCTTTGGCCACCTGGGAACACCAGGGAAGACAGGCAGCTTCAGACTTTTTTATATTCACGGGTATGACTATAGTGCCTTTATGTTCTGAGCTATATTTTTAGTTCATTCACCTATGACACAGGCTACAGTAGCAAGTTTCAGTCCATTACAAAAATTTATTTCCCATACTGGTTCTTTATTTAATAAGTCCTGAGGTTTGTCCAATAGACAAACTGCAACTCTCCCAACAGCCGGACTTGGACTGGCCAGGGTACAGCTGAGGAGCCAATTAACTAATTGATATTCTCAAGCGCATTCAGTTCCAACCAAATCCAGCGTATCAAACTGTGGGCACAAAACCAGAGGGCACAGGTATCCTGCAGTGGTGATTTGCAGCAAGAGGGTGAGCAAGACTGGCAGGATGGGGAGGATCTTTTGCTGTGTGTCTGTGTGTGGGCACTGCTGTTTTTCAGGCCTTTTCTTATTACAGGTCAGGCTTTGGCATTCTTGCAGTCAGCTGCAAAAGCCTGAGTTATTTTAAGTAATTGTGAAGGGAGCTTTGTGATGAAGACACTTCTTGTCTCAGAATCTAAAGTCCCACCTGAAAGCAGATGTTAGACTGAAGCCTGAAAACTCCGTCCCTCCTCCAGGGTCAAGGGCTTGGAGAAGCTAGCAGGGCAGCTTTTGGGGGAAGGGTACGGCTTAGGATGCTTAGTGCCCTCGTTCTTCTTTTGCAGGTTTGGAACTGTCTGTAAATAACCACGCTGCTGACTTCTCCCTCTCTACATTGGCTGGCCCTCCCATCTCCCTCTCCTGCCTAGTACAGAACAGCAGCCAGGCCGAGGAGCTGCTCTGGTACCGAGGAGATGGGATAGTGGATCTGAAAGATGGGAATAAAGTGAACGTCAGTAACATCTGTGTATCCCCAGTCACTGAGTCCGACAATGGAGTCACCTTCACATGCAAGCTGGCACGGGACAAATCTGTCCGGGTGTCTGTGATCCTGGATGTCCAGTGTGAGTTGCAGGGGTGGATATCTGTGTGGAATGGCTGGGGAGGGACAAAATCATGGGCTGAGCAGCTCCGTGTCTGGGCGCTAGGTGAAGGCGGGGTGTTTTGCACCCTTGTACGCTGTCTTCACCAAGAAAAAATGCATTTAGGAGGAGATAACTCATGTGATAAGACACTCCCTTTCCACAGTGCTGCTTATGGCCTGATCTAATGCCTCTTTTATAGGGAGTGGGTGGGCCCTTAAGATGTTCTGGATATGTCCCTGCCTCCACCTAGATTCTTTCTCAAGGATACAAGTCAGGGCAGAGGAGTCACGGGAGTGACCGTCTCTGCCACTGATCACCCTGCCGATCCCTGGGGGATCACGAGAGGCTGCACAACTGTGATGTGCTGCACCACTGAACAAGGTGCACAAGGGATGTGTAAAGGGAACTTATTTTATCATTATTAATGACCCATTGAACTGCGTTACTGTGAACAGTTCCTCCCCAGCTGACTGGAGAAGAGTCCCTCCAAATCGAAGAAGACAAAGATGTTACTCTGACCTGCAACACCAAATCCAACCCTCAAGCCCAAACAGCTTGGTACAAGAACAACGCCACCTTGACCCTACAACAAAATCGTTACCAGCTGTACCAGACCAGCGAGGTCTTTCAGCTCTCTATCACAAAAGTACAGAAGTCTGACAACGGGACCTACACGTGCGTGATGAAATCTTCTTTGGGCGAGGGGAGAAAGGATTTCCACCTGATAGTTGAAGGTAACAAGGCTGCTGTCAAACAATAAGCTGTACAAATAACTCTCCATTCTCTTTTATAGTGAGAGCAATCCATTTATATTAAGAAGCCTAAGTGGGAAGTGGTAAATTCCCTGTGGTAACTTCTGAGGGCACAGCAACAGCAAGGAGCTCTCCTTGCACCCGTACCTGGGACCGCAGCACCAGGAAGGGCCTTTCCTGCTCTACCTGTTAGTCAAAGGCATTTGGCAAGCATGACCTGAAGCGGGCTCATCCCGCTGTCTCACCTCCCACGTCAACAGGCACATTCAGGCGTGGTTTTAAGCACCTTAGGTCTTACCTGAAGCTTTTTACTCCAACCATAGTATTCTGTCATGCCAGAAGAGCTGCTTAAGGCAAGAGAGAGTAGTTGTCCTCCAGAAGTGACTACAGGCCTGTGGACAACACGGAGGTGGAGGCCTTGCAGGGGCTGGATGCTCAAGTCTCAGAGAGTTGATGCTGGGTGAAGTGACCTGCCAGACCCACCAGGCGTCCATTTTGCACCCACTGCCCAGGCCCCGCTCATTTCTGCACTCTGGGAACAGGGAGGAAAGCATCGTTAGCTGTGTCACTGATAGGGCCAGACACCCTTATTTCCATGCGTTACGAGTGCCTCAGGGATCTCCTTCTTCAGAGACCAAAGTTTCAACTCTTCCTTCAGTTCGCTAAAACATGGGCTTGGCTCCCTTCCTTCCAGGGGACTAATCCACACGGGCAGTCTGCGGGCAGCAGAGCGAGCAACGGTTCAAATCAGAAGTGACAGCCATGGGAAAATAAATATGTCTTCCCGCAGTTCTGTGAAATGTTCTGTTTTATGTGACTGCAGCCATCTATCGCATATTTAACCCCCTCTCCCTCTTGACAGATAAAAAACCTGTTTTTCCCACGGAGGCTGTTATCGCTGCTGTGGTGGTGGTTACAATCACGGTACTTTTTGGAATTGTGGCTCGGAAAGATAAAATTTTTAAGGTATGGAAAGCTGTTGTTTTTCAGGAAAAATTCAGTATTTTTTTTGCTGCAATGCCCTGGGTTTTTTCACCTTTTCTATGTTACTTTGTAGTGTTGCTTTCCACTGTTAGAGAACTGCTACATGCTACCTCCTGCTTTAGAATTACCAGTAGATAAATTAAATAGTAGATACTTTAAAGTGGAAGGCATTACGCACTTGCAAGATATTCGTAAAAACATCCCTACGGTCAGGAAATACAAAAGATAACAAGACTGTTTCTTTATTTTCAGTGCTTCAAAAGATCAAGAGAAACAGCTCTGTAAGTATATGCCTGCTTATCCATGCAGCTTCCAAATGAACCCCTTTCTTGAAGCCTTGGCAGAACTTTGGAAAGCAAAGAGCACTCAGCAGGCGAAACCCAACCACTCTGAGTTACCGAGCTCTTGTTCTGGCCGGCTAAGAGGAACCCGCACCTTCTCCCCCAGCGGAGAGGCCTCGCTGGGCAGAGGTGCATAGGAATGTGGTGGGTCACACGCAGATCCCAGGCACCACACAGCTCCTGCCCATCCCAGGTTCCTGGCTATGCCGGTGTGGAGGCAGCAGGGAACAAATGTAACAGCGTATTCCCAGCCTGCTGAAAGCTTTCTGGAGCCGAATGCAGCCCAAGTGAATTCAACTCACTTGTTTTTTTTCCCTAGTAGGTGATTTTTCATGTTGTCTTTTAATTTTGCTGCAGGTAAAGACCACGAGGTTCCTGTGCATGCCCAGAAAACATCATTTCTAGTGGTGGAACACAAGCCCTTGTGGGAGACCATGAGATAAAGCACTGAAACAAGTTTTTTGGGGTCAAGTTTGTACAGTCTTTTCAAAATATAAGTGTTTCTTTGCATCTGTTCATTCTAACCCACAGCTTAGAGCACCACCGTGGGGGGTGGGCTGCCTGAGCTGTTGCCAGATCTTGCCCTCTACGCTTATTCCTAAAAGGTGTGCACGTGCAGTCAGGCATGCGGGTTGTCGATCGGTCTACAGAGGAATCCATACCGGATTGCGATGCTGATGCACGAATAAAGCGAGGCGGTGAGCTGGCAGCTGCTTTCTTGGCCCTGTCCTACAGTACTGCTGCACAGGGCGTTGGGGTGGCGGCCACCCAACTCCCTGCCCCTGCCTGCGATCCTACAGGCACCTCCGCTTCTGTTGGCCAGGACAGAAGCTGCCTGGCGCCTTGCACTGCTGTTGTGCCTCCCGTCTCCCTCAGCCAAAGGCAGAGCCCAGGGCTCGGGGCAGCCCCAAGCACTCGGTAACACACAGCGGGAATTTCAGTGTGGAAAGCACCAGCGCTGCGACGGCAGGAAAACCTCCCTGTCCTGCCCCATGACAAATACGCCAGTCAAGCATTTTTCTCAAGGTCCTGGCAAGCTTTTAAGGCCTCATTGTGCCTTGGAAGGGTGCGTTACTAATACCGTCAGTAAACACCGCGTGCTGTAAATCAATTCGAGCCCGGGATGCACAAACTCTTCTCGGAGGAGCAGGGCTGTCACTCAACAGGAGGCCTCCGCAGCGTGACCTGGAGCACGTCCTTGGCCGACGCTCACCAGCGTGCAGGAAGGGCTGTGGCCACCCCGGGTGGGTGCCAGCTCCCGCTCCCAGCCGCCC